GTGCAGGTGGTTGGCTCACACTGGGGGTGTCCCCGAGTTGGGGGTCGGGGTGCAGGTGGTTGGCTCACACTGGGGGTGCCCCCAGGTTGGGGGTTGGGTTGTGGGGGTCAGTCTTGCACTGGGGTGTCCCTGGGTCGTGGGGCTGGGGGCTTAGGGTGGGTCCCATCCCCAGTGACTCCCAGCTCCCCAGCCGCGCTGCTGGTAACCCGTCTCCTTTCTTTCCTGTGGGGACAGGCCGCAGCGGCGCTGACAGAAATCCACCGAGCCGGGTACTGCTCCTTCTACGGCGAGTGCGGGCGGAACCCCGAGATCAACGTGAGCCTGCTGTGGTCGCCGGTGCCCTGCCTCTCCAACACACCGGCCCGGCTGCTCAAAAACGCCACCCTCAGCAAGCTGAAGGAGGTGTGCCCCCAGCTGTACATGGGCGAGAACGCCACGTACGCCTGCTGCTCCTACACCCAGCTGGTGGCCCTGCAGCTCAGCCTGGCCATCTCCCAGGCCGTCTTGACCCGCTGCCCCGCCTGCTCCGAGAACTTCGCCAACGTCTACTGCCAGAACATCTGCAGCCCCAACCAGAGCCTCTTCACCAACGTCACCCGCTTCTTCAACCGCACCACCATCCTGGGCAGGCAGGTGGGCGTGCTGGAGTACCAGTGCTTCTACAACCAGAGCTTCGCTGACCAGTCCTACGACTCCTGCAAGGGCGTCCGGATCCCCGCCTCTGGTGGCTACGCCATCTCTGCCATGTGCGGCAAGTACGGTGCCACCCTGTGCACCAGCCAGCGCTGGCTGGACTTCCAGGGGGACAGCAGCAATGGGCTGGCCCCGCTGGATATCGACTTCCAGCTGGTGCCCGCTAATGGTGTCATCGGGGAGGGCATCGTGCCGCTCAACAGCAAGACTTGGAGCTGCGGCGAGGCCGTCAGTGCCGACGGGGAGCCGTGCTCCTGCCTGGACTGTGCCGAATCCTGCCCACAGATCCCCGCCCCCACGCCCCAGCCCCCGCCCTTCAAGGTGGGCAGCCTAGACGGGGTCTTGTTTGTGTGCTGCCTGCTCTTCTGCCTGCTGACCGTGCTCTTCGGGGCCTTCCTGGTGTGGCGCTGCGTCTCCAGATCCAGGCAGGCCAGCGGCGAGGGGCAGCAGCGCCAGAGGGACCGGCTGACACGCTCGGAGAAGCTCAGCCAGGCCACCCACCACGTCCTGGGGGAGATGTTCAGGAGATGGGGCACCATGGTGGCTTCCCACCCAGTCTCGGTCATCTTGGTCTCAGCCGTGGTGGTGGTGGGGCTCTCCTGCGGGATGGTCTTTATCCAGCTCACCACCGACCCCGTGGAACTCTGGTCCTCGCCCGACAGCCAGGCCCGGCAGGAGAAGGACTTCTATGACCAGAACTTCGGGCCCTTCTTCAGGACCAACCAGGTGATCCTCACAGCCAAGGGCCGCCCCAGCTACACCTACGACTCCCTCCTCCTAGGCAGGAAGAACTTCAGTGGGATCCTCTCCATGGCTGTCCTGCTGGACCTGCTGGAGCTGCAGACGCGGCTGCAGGAGATCGAGGTCTGGTCGGAGAAGGACGGCAGGAACGTGACGCTCAAGGACGTCTGCTACGCCCCCCTGAACCCCAACAATGCCAGCGCCACCGACTGCTTCGTCAACAGCCTGGCACAGTACTTCCAGAACAACCGCACCCGCCTGGAGATGACGGCCAGCCAGACGCAGGGGAGCCAGACGGGCATGGTGGACTGGAAAGACCACTTCCTCTACTGCGTCAAGTAAGTGCCAGGCCCCGGTGTGGGAGAACAGGGGGTGTGCACACTTCCCGCACGGCTCTGCCAATGCCCCTCATTCCCGATCTGCAGCCCCCTGCTAGCCCAGCCCTGGGCTCCCCCCACAGCTCTCCCCTTTGGCTCAGGGGGAAGGAGTCAACACAGAAGGTCGTGGTTCCATACCCGCTAATGGTCTGTGGAGACTTGGACTTGACTGATGCCCCTTTATTCCATGTCCCCCCCAACCCCCCATCTGTGGCTTTTTCCTTCCGGAGCAGGACTGATCGCTTTCCACTCTGCGTCTCTCGTGCGTTTCCAAGCCCTCCTCGGTCCGCCCCGTCACCTGTCGGCCTCGGGATTCCGGCCCAGCTCCTGCCTCGGTCCCTGGCTCAGCTGTTCCCTCCACACGTGTTCTACCACCTCTGTTTTCACCCAGCATTTCCTGGCCCATCACTTTCCTTTTCATCCTCCCCCCGGGTTCTGCGTTTGGGAGCTTTGCTGGCCGTCTGCTAGTGTGGATTTGTCCTAGGCAGCTGGGCCCAGCACGTGGCATTTGGTTTGGGTTGCGAATCATGTCTGGCTTCGCTATTCTGGCTTTAATGTCTCCGTCTGGCCGCCTCTTGTGCTTACAGCGCTGCCGAGTTCGGCGAAGTGTCAGACGCCACAGTCATTCCAGTGACAGTTCAGTGTCGGCTCTTCGGTGCCTCTCTCCTTTCCCAGTCCATCCCCGGGAGGAAGCTCCCTGACATCTTAGTGTCACGGATCCCCAGGACCGGGGCTATGGCCCCAGCTGCGGCACAGTCTCTGGGAGGCCCCCTTCAGCGAGCCAGACCCCCGGCGGTCTCTCTGTTCCACCAGGACAAGCCCTGCAGCTTCACCACCTCCTTAGGCCGTCAGCCCCCGAGCTTCCCACCGTGAGCTCCGCTCAGCGAGTCCCACCCAGGCAGCCCCTGAGGGAGACTGGGACGATCTCAGGGAGCAGCACACGCCCCTCCTCCAGCCTCTGCAGGGACACCCAGTCAGCGTGGGCACTCGGCTGGACACAGCACAGGGAGGCCTTGGGTAGCCCAGAGAAAAGAAAGATCCAGCCCTGTCCATCCTGGTTAGCCCAGAGCCCTCAGCCCCGTCCCTCTGACCTCCCTTTGTCCCAGGTCAGGTGCTCCAACTGCTTCCCACAGCCCACTTTGAGCTCCCCGAGCTGCGGTTCAGACCCTGGGAGAGGCGGGCAGTGCTGCTCTCTGGGGCTCCATGCCCAGGCAATCGGATTTGCGTGCTCTTCTCCAGAGCTCCACTGATGTGGGACCGAAGGCCCCAGACAGCTAGGAGCCATTCACACCTGTGTCGTAGCTGTCACGGACTCACAGATCGTGCCCACTCTTGGCCCCGTGCAGTCTGTGTGGGGTGCCCCTGTTAGCGAGACAGCCCTTCGCGGGGGTCCACTCTCTCTCAGGGTCAGGCCCCTCCACCTCCTGGAGCCGCACCTCTCGGAGCCTTAGCACACTTGTTTCTCGCCGTGGGCTCCCTCATGGAGTCCACTCGCTCTGGACCCCCCCCGGGCCTCCACCCCCGAAGGGGTTGATGCCACCCTGTTCTCTAGACCAGAGTGACTCTCAGCCAGCATAAAACAGGAGGGTTTATTGAGGGTTGAACACAGCACAGGAAACTCTCAGGGCCTCAGGCCTGGCCTCCCTCAGCCCAGCACATCCCAGTCTCTCTGCATCCAGGTAGGCCCTGCCTGCTTCCCCTCTCCAGCCCAGAGCCCCACTGCTTCCCAGCTGGGCCTCTGAGATCACTGGCCCCAGGCCCTGCCTCTGTCCATTGTCTTCCCTCCAGGTAAACAGGGTCGTAAACCGGGGCCTCCTCTCCTGCTTCTGTCCTCTGGCTGGAACCGGCTGGTTAGGTCACTGGGTCCTCACTCTGCAGCCCATTGTCCGCCCACTGGCCAGAACCGGCTGCGTCTCCTCAGCTGGGCCTCCGGGTCGCCAGGTCACCGGTCGCTGGGGTATCCATCCTCCAGGCCATCGGCTGGGTCCCCAAGTCCTCTCTCCGGTCCTCTGCAAAACAAACTCCCTCTCCCCTCACCTCGTTAAACCAGTAACCCGCAGGGAAACTGAGTCCCACCCCCTCCGCATGCAAACCATTGAAAACTCCACAGAAAACAAGAAAACCCCTCACTTCGTCACAGTAGCCTGCCAGAGAGCACACAGCCCTTCCTCCCACAGCATACAGGGGAAACTGAGGCACACATATGCTTCATAAAAATACTACCAAAAATTCCCACTTGTCTGACGCTGGGAGTCACCTGGATTGGCTTAGTCAATCCCCTCCCCCATGGGGTCTATACCGGGGGCCATCAGGCTGGCATTTGCTGCCAGGCTGGTCCAGGTGCCGCACCCCTTGCTGTTGTGTTCAGGCACCGAGCAGCAGGTCCTGAGGCTGGCATTGCCGTGGCATCTGGTTTCCATGGGGACATGGTTACTTCCCAAGCCAATAGCCACATCACAAATGCCCGGTGTGGCTGGGCACTGGGGGGGAGAGAGTCCAGCAGTGCCACTGCCTGTTGCCCCCTGGTGCCCACCCAGAGGAAAGGCGTGTAATGGCACCAGGTCCCCACGGAGCATGGCGGTGTTCCAGGGCACTCAAATGAGTCATCTGGGGGAGGGAGCGACGGGGGTGGCCTGGGGCGGGTGGGACTGGTGGTGCACACTGGGTTAGCGCTGGTGGGGGCCACCGGGCTGGCAATGGCAGTGGAGGTAGCTGGACTGATGTTGGGGACGAGGGGGTTAATATGGGTGCACTCTGGCTTTTAAACAGCCCCGGGGACCCCTTCAGCTTGCCAGTCCCCCAGGGGTCCCCCTCTTCCTTCAGGGTGGGCCATGGCATCCCAGCCCTCCTGCGTCGCCACCCGGAGCTCTGCCTGGGAGCACGGCCAAGCCAGCCAGGTGTGCAGGGACCCCAGGCAGCCTGTTCCAGCAGAGCAGGGTTTATTGGTCAGCTGGGCGCAGGCTGGTGTGAGCTCAGCACAGAGACATGGTGCTGGCCAAGCCGGTGCCCCCCAGCCACGCGGCCACGGGCGCCTGCCAGGCTCTGCCTCACCGCCCTGTTGCCTGTCCCCAAAGCCGGCTCTGTATCTCCAGCCCAGGCCCCTTGGGCTTTGTTCTCCAGCTGCCTCTGCTCAGCATCCCTGGTGAGAGCTGGGGGAACCCACCCCTTGCCCCCTCCAGCCCCGGGCCTGTTATGCACGGCTCCCTGCCTGGATTTCCCATAGACCTGGGTCGGCCTCGGCCACTCCCACCTCCCCGGCTCCTGCCCAGCACCAAGGGCAGACTTAACTCTTTCGCCCCCATGGGGTTGCCATGAAAAGTACGGGGGAAACTGAGTCACAGGTAGGCATCACAAAAATACTTCCAAAAATTCCCACTTCCTCACAGGGTGACTCTGGGGGGCTCCCTGCTGGGATGTGTGCTGGGAGGCTCTGGATCTACACTGGGGGGCTCTCCCTGGAGGGCCGTGGGGGACGGGCAGCGGCTCAGCCCTGGGGTGGGGAGCTCCCTGTGGGGCAGTAGCTCTGCCATGCTGGGCGCCCCCTGCAGAAAGGCTGGAGATGGGGGTGGTTAGAGGCTGCCGACCTTCCTCTCCTGCTGCCCCTGCCGTGCCCACCGCCAGCTCCTCCCCTGTCACTGGCTTCCTCCGTCTCTGATCTCCCACCCTTCCGCTTCGCAGTTCCCCTCTCCGCCCTGTGGTCTGCCTCCAGCCCCCCTTCTCCCTGCCGCCACCCTGGGTCCGTCCCTAGGGGGAGCTCCTGGCACAGGCTGCAGCTCGCAGAGCGCTGTGCGTGGGCACAGTGCCGCAGAGCCAATGGGACCGTGGCACCAGGAGGACCAGGGCACGGGGGCCCCGCAGTGTCCCCGGCAGGCATCCCGCCCTCACTCACTCCTTCTGCCTCCCCAGCTCGCCTCTCTCCTTCAAGGACATCACCAACCTGCAGCTGAGCTGCATGGCTGACTATGGCGCGCCCGTCTTCCCCTTCCTGGCCGTGGGTGGCTACACAGGTAAGGGGCACCAGCGCCAGGCGGGTACCCAGCCCTGCGGCTTCGCAGACAGCGACCGCCCTCCTCCTCCACCGGCTCACAGCTCTGTGGGGGAGGAGGGCACAAGGGAAGCATGTGGTGGGTCAGCCTGGCGGGTGTTGGGCACAGCGCCCCAGCAGCCTGGCACCGCGGCCAGGGGCACAGTGATGGAGGGGCTGAAAGATGGATAACGAGGCAGCTCTGGGGATGTTCGCAGGGAGCTTCTCCCCAGCGTGAGGGGCAGCCGGTGCCCAGTGGTATTTGTTGGGCATGTACCACGTGAGCGGTGCCAGCTGGCACGACTGGCAAAGCACAGCGGCTCGCCAGCGCAGGAGAGGCGATGGGCAGGGTGGGGACAGCCAAGCGGGACCTAGTGAGAGAAGACCAGCGGCGGGTGTCTGATGCGCCGAAGAAGGTGTGAGGCAAAGAGAGGAGCAGCAGCGTCCGAGCGGGGCAGGACCAAGCAGTGGCAGTGCCAGCCGCTGAGGGGCCAAGGTCCAGCCAGAGACGGGCTGCAGAAAGAATGGGCAGGAGAGGGCTGAGCCTCGGGGACACCCCGTTCCAGGGCTGGATCATGGGGTAGCTAGTGGTGGGGCTGGCGTGGGGGGCAGCAGGGAGCCATGGAGCTGCTTGCCTGCATCTGGCCTGGTGGACCGAGCGGGGATTGTGCCCGTCCAGCCAGGGTGACTCCAGGTCCGCTCTGGAGCATCGGCCCTGCGGGGCTCCGGGCATCTGGGTGAGAAGCCCCCAGCCCCTGGCACATGACTTAGCTGGTTCAGTCCGGCGGGGGCGCTATGCTCCTGGAGGTGCTGTCTGGAAGAGGAGACAGGAACTGAGGCCCTGGCTGCTTGGGGCCATTTGAGATCCCAGGACCCTGTGCTAAGGATCCTGGCCAGTGCTCCAGGGACTCCAACCTGCCTCCCTGACCTCCCTCCACCCTGTGGCAGTATCAGCTGGGTACAGAACTGTTACTTCCTGTCCTAAATGGTTAGCAGGCGTTGTGGTGCGGGGTTAGCCAGCTACCACGCTGCAGCCCAGAGGTGGTTGCCTGTCAGTGATGCTGGAAGGCTCCATGCCACTCCTGCACTGATCCCAGGGGCTGGTATTCGGGAAGTGGCCCTCGATCCTGAGCTGGAAGGTGCCCAGGTGGGGCAGGGTGGCAAAGTCTGGATATTTACGATCTCCCTTACCAGACCCGCTCCTTTCCTGTGGACCGGTGCTGCCGTGGGTGGGGGCAGGAGGCTGTCTGCCAGGGGCTGGCGGGAGGAGGGGGATGTCTGTGCCTGCTGGCTCTCAGTGCCCTCCCCCCGCCAGGTGAAGATTATTCGGAGGCCCAGGCACTGATCCTCACCTTCTCGCTGAACAACTACCTGCGCAGTGACCCGCGCTACGCCTGGGTGCTGCTGTGGGAGCAGCGCTTCCTGCAGGTGGTGGGGGAATTCCAGCGGGCCCACGCCCACACCTACACCATCGCCTACATGGCCGAGGTACCGGGGGCAGTGCCAGGCCATTGCAGAGACCTGGCTGGAGGCCAGCCCTGCACAATGGGGGCTCAAACAATTCTCTTATGGCTCAGGGCTGTTCAGCCCCCACTGTTCTCTGGAGCTGGGATCCCCAACACTGCACAGCCCAGAGCAGCCCCCAGCTCGGAGTGACTCCCACCATCCTGTTGCCCCCTCTCCTTGCCCCATTAAAGGCCAACGATGAGCCTCTGCTGCTGGCACAGTGGGCAAGCTCTGGTTTGGGGGCATATGCGTGGGAGACGGTGACAGGCACGGGGCATTTCCTGATGCCAGACTGGGGCTGGGAGGAGAGGGGGGACAGCAGGAAGGGATGGGGGAGGGACAGCCGCAGTCAGGGCAGGGGCAAATAGAGGGCACCCCAGGGTGCATGGGGACAGCCCAGCCCTCTAGCCCCATAGGAGGCCCCTGGGCACAGCTCTTGGCTCCAGCGGGCACAGTTCCAGCCAGTGGCAGCGGGAAGCAGGCGCTGACCCTGCCCCATGTGGCACGGCCTGTCTCTAACCCCTGGCTCCCACAGCGCTCCCTGGAGGACGAGATTAACCGCACAACGGCCGAGGACATCCCCATCTTCGCCATCAGCTACCTGGTGATCTTCCTCTACATCGCGCTGGCCCTGGGCGAGTACTCCAGCTGCAGGCGCATCCTGGTACGGGGGCAGCGGGGCTGGCGGGAGGCTATGGGGCTTGCTTTGGGAAGCAGGGGACTGGGGTGGGGCCCTGGCATGAGCCTGTGGTGAGGGCAGTGCCTGTCTGCTGGCCTGTCTCATGCCAGTCTCTAGTAGCCAAGCAGCCTTGTGCCCACCCCTCGCTGGCACCCCCTGGGGCTGAGCAGGCCCTGGAGAGGGGGCTGCCCTCTCCCTGCAGAGTGGGGGGCTGGGGCTGCCTGTTGGGGACCCTCAGTCTCTAGAGCCGGTTGGGTCCTTTGCCCAGCTTGGAACAGACTCAACCAGCCGCCACAGAACGACCAGGGTCCACTGCATGTACCCTGCACCTCTGCAGGGCCCCGGCTCGCCCGCCCCACAGCCCAGCGCGCACAACCCCAGCCCCATAGCCTGCCCTGAGCGCCAGGGGAGAGCACCACCCACTAACCCCGCAACCGGCCCCTGGCACTGCCATGCACAGCCCCAGGCCCATAGCCTGGCCGAGCCCCCCACCCCGCTCCCTGCAACCCCTAGAAGGTCTCTGTAGCATCTCCCCCAGGCTCCACGTCAGTCCCGAGAGGCCCCGCCCCCCACGGGTGCCAGCCGCCTGACCCACCGCGCTGCCCCCTGCAGGTGGACTCCAAGGTGACGCTGGGCCTGGGCGGGATCCTGATGGTGCTGGGCGCCGTGTTCTCCTCCATGGGCTTCTACGCCTACGTGGGGCTGCCCTCCTCCCTCGTCATCATCGAGGTGGTTCCCTTCCTTGTGCTGGCTGTGGGCGCTGACAACATCTTCATCTTCGTGCTGGAATACCAGGTGAGCTGGGGCACC